CAATTTCCATTGACATTTCTTACATGTCGAGGTCGGTACCAAGAGATAACATGAGTTATAAATTATGTCCTCTCTGTGCAGTACAGGCTAAAGCATTTTGAGAAAATAATATGCTATAGATACATGTGGATACATTATATTATGCAAAGATAAATCTACATCATGTAGTTTATGACGATCAGTCAAACATAATAAATTTAAAAACTATCTGACATCTGTATGCATCTCTAAGGTTACTAACATAAAGATTCAATAGCAATTAAGTAAATCAAATTTGGTTGTGGAATACACAAGATAATATATGTTAAACCAGATTAGAAATCTCATCTAAAATGTTTAAAATTATCACTATTTCATTACACCAATTCATTACACATTCATTCAGATCGAATCTACCGATGGTAGAATCGATCAAAGCATCACTGATGAAATCATATAATTCTGATCTTATAGATAAAACCTAGATTGAAATCAACCAGTGTGCAATAATTTTCAAAGTTGTAAGTCAAATCTTAACTAAATTCAAAAAATTAGATAATACTTTGATTGCTGACTGGATAAATTGATACATGATTGTACAAAATGATATATTTTTAATTATATTTATTATTTTGGTAATTAAGATTGGTGAACTTATTTGGTTCTTGCGGCCAGTTGATCAAAACAGTATTTTTTTTGTTTGATGTGGATACCTATACTTAAAATGAAGACTGATTAGAGATTATTTTGGATGGACAAAAAAGAATTAACATCAATCAAAATCTTCAAGTGTAGAGGGGGTTGCATATCCCACTAATGACATGATTTGAGAGATGTGGATTAATTGAAAAATCCTCACAGATTGGCAGCAGATGGAGCAAAATCAATCAAGTTGTTCTAATATAATCTGCTGCTGTTATCGGCTTACCAAAGTCCTGGTTTTCTTCGTTCAATTTAAATCATATCACTTGTTGTGCATTGCAATGAGTTCTAGCGGCCTCCTGCTTTTATTTTGCCCAAGTGCGGCTATTATCTGTTCCATAAGAGGGCAAAAAACATTATACATTAGAGAACTTACCACTTGTCAAACCAACTTTAAATTTTTTTTGAACCAGATAACCGTCTACTCAAAATCTAGCAATTTCTCAAAGAAGAGAGAGCCTCATATTTGTACTCTTCAAACACTAAAAATAGGCTTAAAATATTCTGGCAAAAAACCAAGGGTAATGAATGAATACTGAGTCACAATGAAAATGAACAATGTAAAGATGTGGTCTTGGTGTGTAAGTTGACAAAAGCTTGAATATCTCGGATAGGATAGTGGGATGTGAATGCCAAAAATAACACCCGATTCAAATCATGTAAAAGGGAGAAGGCATACTATATTAGCATTAATTTAGTCGCCAAACGGAGAGTACATTTAGGCAATTTAGGCACTGCGCCATTAGGTCGCCTATGTTAAGCATGCAGCAAATCGGCTTACGTCAAGCAATTTTAGACATAATTTTCTCATCCCCCAAAGTGTGATAATCACACTTTAAAACTTGAAAATCTGTTCATAAAAGTGAAGGAAGATACGAAAAATTTTATTGGAATAAATACTTGCAATTTCAAGTATTGCAATTTAACTTGCAATACTTGAAATCTTTCGATTTTTTTCCTTTGACAAAATTTACCTATATTTCAACTTTTTCAATTTAGAAACTACTGCAACTGATTCAAATGTTAACGTTTCTTTGCGGATAACACTTGAGTGTATGTTTATGCAGAGATAAAATCTCACATAGAGTTATGAGCGGGAGACTGATACACACCCTCCAGTAATCGTGCATCAAATCTTGGGGGACAGAAGGTGCATGTAGAAATGTTTATCTCTGAAGACGATTTCGTACACTGTAATTCATATCTAACCGGTTTACGGAGGAAGATCATGACCGGACTCACCTGTAGGAAAAGTAGGGGTTTGTTCGTGAATCCATGCTTTCTACTAGCGGGATACTAAATCTGATATATACTGTAGGTTAGTAGAAGAAAAGAAAAAGTTGTTCAAGGTGGGGTCCAGTAAAGAGAAAGTTGTGTCAAAGTGAATCGATCCGGAACAATTGAAATTCGGTGGACCTCGGTAAACAAATGAAGGAAGAACTAGGCTTGAACAAACATAGTCGTTGGGATGTCATCATCTTCTGTGAACGTATCTTTTGTACTGTCCATGATATAAAGACGCATATGCAATTCGACGGAATGAAATACTGTGGAATTCATTTCGTGCACAATCTATGCCTTCTTCTATTATTGTTGTGTGTGCCGCTATTTCGAAAATTCGAAGTGGACAACACTGGCCATTCAAATGGACACCGACAGACGAGCCACCCTTTTCTCGATACTGTGAACTGCACTCCATCCAACAGTCGATATTGTGGCCAGAAGATGTGTGTCCTGAAGAGGCTACTGTTCAGGACAGAGGAATGATTGACCATAGCGACAGAGTACGTGCAGCTATTTGGAAGACCATACAGAAACGGACGTAAGCTGTCAAAGTTGGGCTCACCTTGATCTTCTGTTTCGACATTATTCGCGAGTATCGCTCGTCCTTGAAACGAATTTCGTTTCTCCATGTTGTAACGAGGTCCTGAAGCAGAAACTGGCGGCACCCCAATGCCAACGTCAAGAGATACGTACGCACGTTGTATTCAGCGGATCTCGATGACGTATTTGACGTGACCGCCAAGCAGGAGTGGTGAATATAGCTGTTAAATAATCACAGGATTTTTTGCCTCGGACTTCATATTAGATGTTCACCGCAGCTTTCGAAACCTCGAAAGTTATCGTCGGCAGTGATTACTGTGTGAACGGATCTCGTGAAGGGTGTAAAGTAGGGGCTCCTGTGGGCCTTTGCTTGGCCCTACTGACATTCTCATCTCCCATTCTTTGAAACCTTCGCACCGCAATGAGCGTTATTAGACTCTGCACTGTACAGACAGTGTTTGAGTTTTTAGGATATGCTCAGGAGAATGGAGACTGTGGGGAGGTATTGCCCAGATTATACTCTAGGTGTTGGCAGACTGCAGCAAGAGACATCATCTGCAAAGACGCTTATACACTACTCATCTTCAGTCCTTACATGGTATATAACGGTACGTATAATGGTCATTCTGTATCTCGAGAACGCGTCTTGCGTATCAGGGCAGATTACGGCCTGGTCCTGGCAGGCAAGGGCGGCCGGCAGGAGGTCCTATCCTGACCAGGAGTTAGAGTACGACCATTGTCAATGCGGGCAGGGGCGGGAGAGAAGAAGATGATGCTTGTCGAACACCTATACTTCCCCTCATCAGATCTAATCCGTGCTTTTCTTTCGTAGACCTTATTGCTGGAAAAGATTTACGTTCTTAGGGTACAAAGGCCGTGACAGTCCATAATGGAAAACTTCTCGAATAAGACTGAACAGATTTGTGAAACTAGAGCTAATAGCTGTTGGCTAAAAGGCAGATTCTCGCCTTGACTTTGCATGACTAACAGACCACAGTACCAGTTCATACAGGTCTGGTCAGGGTTCGTAGCCAGGAAAAGGTCAGTCCAATCGTCTACCTGACACCACCTGCGTAAAGCTAACTGCGACAAACCATGCGCAGTGGTTGGAGGTAGAGAGAGTTCACTCAACTTTACTGGCCAGAGTTGTCTACTCCTGAAGGTTGTAATTGTTTAAGTTGTCCTCTTCGAAGAAATGAAGCAATACATCAGGTAGGCAATTCTTATCCAGGCAAGGAATAACGAGGAAATCATTACCAAACGATATAAAAGCTCAGCAACGGACAGAGTAATATTCAGGGTTGTTCCAAGTTCACAACCAAGGATACAAGGCAATGACAGTTACACTCTTCAAGAACATGGTTCTGTATCTAGCGTCGTAGGAACAGTAAGGTGGAGGAGCGAGATCGATGGCAACTGAAGAAAACGGGTCCTACCCGATCGAGGGAGTGTGTGGAATGCTACGAGGCATGTGATTGTGTGTTGAGAGTGCTGAGTTCTGTCAGTTTTCGGGAACGGTTGATGGATGGTCGAGGTCAAGTGCGAGATTCCCAAAGCATCAAGCATTTCATCTAAAATGCAAGAATGTGATTGATGGAAGGCTACGAAAACATTCAATCTATGAGCCATATGCCTACTTTGCTTTGATCATGCCCATAAAAGATGGTTGACAGGAATGGAAGAATAGAAGACAGCAGGCGTTCAGGACAGTGGAACATGAGCAGGCTGTAAAGTAGAGGGAGAGAGAGAGAGAGAGCAGTTGGAGGAAGGTAAGGTGATTTGAGAAGGGAAAGAAGGCGATAGGTGAGTTGCAGTGAAGTGCCGTTTGAAGAAGAGCACCGGGTGGGGGAGGGTTATTTGGCTAGTTTGGGAGGATAACGACGAGAAAAGCAGAGGGACGAGGGAGGCGCCAGAGGCATGAAGAGAAGACTCACACGGCGAGAAGAGCATGAAGAAAGGGGAGATGGAAGCAGACGATGGGGCTTTGGGCATGGGCGCCGTATCTTTGTCGCCGCCACTCTGGCGCGACAACCTAGGTTCACTGGCCACTCGGAAGGCCGGGCTTTCCTGATGTGAAGGTCCACGTGGCGCGTCATCATGTGCGTGATTGCGCGCTGATGTCGGAGTACGGCCTACACGCTCTCCCTTTACCGCGCCTCCCGTCTTAACTGACGACTCCGTTCGCTAATCCCGATAGGCAATACCGTCGGGTCCCACGGTCGCCCCGTCCCCGTCCTCGTCCCGTCCCGTCCTTACCCTCGCCCCCCTTCCCTTCATCTTCATCTTCCTTTTTCTTCGGGCACTTCCCTTGCTTCGCTTGGCTTTCTTCCCCCACTCTCTCTATCACTCCCACCCGAGTCCCTTTCTCCGCCTCTCTCCCACCTCGACGCTATCCCTGGGCTGGGCTGGGCTGCGTTGCTCTGGTCGGGTCGGGCCGGGCCGGGCCCCCACACCACACAGAAGCTAATGGCACACTGTTCGTGCTAGCAAGGTTGCAGTCCACTGTTACTCGGCTGCCCACTTCAGCCCACCACACCACCGGTCGCACTCGCACTCTAGAGAGAGAGAGAGATCGAGAGCGAGAGCCAGGGAGGGAGAGGGCAAGGGAGAGGACGGAAGCTCGGGGATGACGAGGTGACAACGCACATCTCTACCTCATTCGCTCCTCTCGTAGAGCTCACGACTCTCAGGAGCCCCTACGTGCTGATCCGGCTCATATGCCATGTGATGATTTTGTCTCGCCTTCGAGAGGGAGTTCAAAACTCCGGCTGGACTTCGCGGCTTCGGTATGTTGATCGAGAAATCTCACGAGAAATCTCACCATTCTTATGCGTTGTTTGATCGATTTTGACCGGGTTGTTGCCGGAGCCTGTCGAGGAGAAAGGCCGTCGAGACGGCCGTTGTTGCAACTTCTGGGAAAGGATCCGGAATGTTAGCATGGGCTCGGTCTGTTGATTCCTCCACGAGCTGCCATGCAAGGTGGGTTATCGATGTCAGACGGAAACTCAACGTAACTGACCCCCACTGTTGGTTGGCCTGGTCTGGTCTTCCCCATAGTATGCACGAGAGATCGATCAGGAGAGAGTACGCGTCCAGTATAGATGGACACTACAGTAGATGCCTTCACACAGCCGTCTGGGATAGGCTTCCTGCAATCTAAGATGAGGGTTTGACGGACAACTTACATACTATATCGAGTTTTTCCAATTGAATGTGTGAAATTGTGGACTTACACACATGGTAAGCGGTGAACGGATGCCAAGTGGCAATACTCATAATCATAGCGTTCTTCAGACATATACTGCTAGATTTCGCTCCTCTCGACTTGCTTTCTGCAGCCGTAGAGGGCTGCAGTATTGAGTTCTGATGAATGGAAGTTCACTTCATCTACCACAGACTGTGGAACTTGAAACAATTTTTGGGGTTCTTGTCCACCGTTTCCCATAGTTCGAACTTCTACTGTTACATGTGAGGCGCTGTCTACGCTGTTAAAAAGTTCCGGGTTCCTGCACTTCCTACTCCCATGGGTTCGAGCATTTACGAGTAGATGGTAGACCGTCTCTTACTCCTTGGGAAAGCCTTTAAGTTCCTCCTGAGAAACTGAGCATAACTCGTAGAGCGCGAGATGAGTGTACGAGTGATCTTCTTCTGGGCGGAAATCGAATGCTATTTAAATAGGAGAAGCGTCTCACCTGATCGCAGAGTGCGAGCACCTCGTTACTCTTATATGATAGAGTAACGATGTTCATGTTGAGTGTACAGCTGAATGTGTAAGCTTGGTCACCTGGTCGTAGTATGTCCTCTTCTCGCAGTTTTGTTTCTAGTCACGCACAAATGTCGAGTCGATGGTAAGCATAGAGACTGAGAGGAATGGAGTGAGTAAATTTATGTCACACTGATATACTCTATCATATATTCTCTACACGTCACAGGTCAACGAGCTGGAGGATTGGGTTCGAGGGCAACTGTTGGCCAGTGGAAAGAGATCTCCAAGACGTTTGCAATAGACAATGCTCGGACTCCACGGGATATTTGGAAGTGTCAGTCAGAGCTGCGAAGCAACCGCAATCGGAGGTGTGCTTTTCTGTAGCGAATGGAAGCAAGTTTGAATCAAAAGTTGATGAGAGAGCAAGAGATGGAGAGAGGTTTCGAATAGAAAGAGATCAGATCAGACAATACGCGCAGTCCATCTACAGAACACTTGCAGATCCACAGGCGGCGGCAGTCCCAACAGAACAGCGGTCTTCAGGCCTGCGGAGTTCGATCCCAGGAGGCCAACTCGCATGTGATGTAAGCAAATATAGAGTTCAGACAGCATCGGCAAATCAGCTGCATCCCAATTCTAACGACAGTTTCGAGAGCATAAATTTTTCCCCTTCATCACCCATCACTGATCATCAGAGAGAGTTACGACGTACTGAAATTGAGGCGGGATTGGAGCCAGAAGGTACGAGGAGACAAAACGTTGGAGAGGAAGCTTCAGACCAAATAAATCGAGCTACTTCTCTGAAGAACGGGTTTCCACTGGCTGAGAGAGCAAGTGCTCCTGAGAAGTTCATCGCGGAAGGGCTGGATGATTCTGAGCCAGCAAGACACGGCAGAGGAGGTCCTCAGAACAAGCGGTCTAGTATTTGGGCAAAAAATGTGGAACTAGTGGGACATGGTCCTTTCGCCTTCCGTGAGAACATTGTGGAATGCAGTACACATATTGGTGTGAGTGAGAAGGAAGGCTTCGTTTTACATGATGTAATCGATGCACAGGCCTCGCATGGAAGAGCTAAAGAGCCCACAGCTGACTCAGGGACACCGAGAAGCCAAAATTCTCATCAGAGGACAATACATCCGCAAGGACGTCAAGATAGAGCCAAGACTGCCAATGCCATCCCCAGTAGTCCACAATCGCAGGCTTTGACTGATAGAGTTTCTAGAGGAGCAGCCTCTGATGCGCTAGGCACCGATTTACTTCCTCAAAGCATTGGGAGTGATCTACTTCAGCAGGGAACCACCCCAGCACGAGTCGAACGAGTCCAAAATATATCACGGACGAGAAGTGGCGGTGAGAGAGACGTGGAGGATACCTTAAAAGGCCGTAGATATCCGGAGAGAATTGGAGACCTTAGAGCAACTACAGTAGCCACAGCTGGACGCCAACATAAAGCAGAAAGATCTGGGGAAATACCTCCTGTTCGAACAAGTCAAGAGACAGTTGTAGGTACAGCAGGAGTTCTCACAATTCCAGAAAGAATCGGTGGGACGGCAGAAGATCTGACAGCACGCGAAATAGTTGATGTTTCAGAAAGCCATTCAGTCAGTGAAAGAGTTGGAGGTAGAGCAGAAACACATTCAGCTCAAGACGGTGGAAGTGCCGAAGGTTTCACGATTCGAGAAAGAACTGGAGGGAGTCCATCCGAAGGCAACAAAATTCCAGAAAGAATTGGAGCAGTTTCAGACAGAGACTCGGCGGGGAAGGTCCAAGAGAAAGGAAAAGAAGAAAAGCTCCATCCGAGGGAAGAGGGACATCAACGGCAAAGCGAGTCATCAGACGAAAGGAGGCTTCGGGCACGAATCGACGGCTCAGGTGGTAGCGCCTCAGGAGGAGGTGATGAGATTGAGGAGCCCAAAGTCGTGCGTCCTGCACGGCCATCGGGTGGGAAGGATCGCCACAGCAAAGTGAACACTGCTAAGGGTCCCAGAGATCGGAGAGTGAGACTATCCGTCCCTACAGCAGTGCAGTTTTACGATGTCCAAGACCGACTTGGCTTTGATCAACCAAGCAAGGCCGTGGAATGGCTTATTCATAAAGCCAAGGACGCAATCGATGAGCTTGGTCGTATTCCTGTCGATGGCAAGGATGGACCTCGCGTACCCAGTGTGTGTACGTCCGATATTACACGTCACGTTTCGATTTCCTCTTCTTACGGTGCGGGCGCCGTCTCAGGTCTTGTGAGTGGCACTTCATCTTGTTCACCTGCAAGTTCATTCCAAGGCCCTTCCAGTATGTCGTATGGAGATCAGCTGAGCTTCTTAATGAACCCATCTATTGCTCAGGGAATGTTTGCGCCTCTACAGCCAAATCAAGGAAATTTTGCAGGTCCAACCTTTGGTGTAGGAAGAATGGATCTGACTAGGCCGAATAGCGGATCTGCGGAAGGAGGCAGATCGAATGAATCAGCAGGATCTCCATTGGCACGTGTGGAATCCAGGACAAAGGCGAGAGAGAGGGCAAGGGAGAGGACGAAAAAGGGTCCCGGAAGAGATGGAAACCAAGGGAAAGTCACCAGCGGTGGTTCGCCGTCATCCTCTCAGTCACCTCCTTTCCATCCTAATCCCGCATTTAACTCCTTCAATGCGTCAAATTCCATTCAGAGTTCTGGTCATGGCTTGTCCTTACAGAGCCCACATCAAAGCGCGCTACTCCCCGCCGCATATGACGGAAGCCCATTCTCGAGGATCATGCAAGGTTCTCACCAAGCCACCTTTCAAAATATGATCATGCACAATCCCCCTCTGGACTGTCAGTTTGGCGATCAGACTCAAAGCCCTCTTCACAATGCGTTTCTGGTCCAGCCTCAAGCTTCTTTACCAAGTCCTTCTCACACTATGAACACGTTACAGCACCCACATTTGCAGACGATGCAAGTAAACGCTCAAGGAGCCCTTCACTTGGGTACCAATTTCAATCCCGGACCATGTTCATCTTCCTTCGCCGAGGCATCTATGTCCTCTCCTCATTATCCACCCGTTCCCACTCTTCCGATATCTCAATCGCTCTCGATTCCTCAGTTGTCTTCCCTAGGTATGTCTCCTGCCAGTTCGCTAGGACCTCATTACCCCACCGGAAGCCCGACACCGATACCTCCAGGATTTTCTCCCGGTCCTCCTGCTTCAGCATTTCGAGCCCATTCCTTGTCCATAAGCCAATGCTCAAATCCGAATCAGAATCATCAGCAGCAGCAGCAACAGCTTCAAGGATTGTCAAGAGTTCAACGTCCAGTTCCGTCCTTCAGCACTACTCCATCGACGTCGCATGCCGGATCTTCTTCGTCAAGGGCACATGCACACCCGTACTACTCAGGGAATTCTTCGACGGCACTCATGGGCTGTCTTCAATCCATGCCATCGTTCGCACCCAGAAGCAATGTGGGCTACGAGCATGGACAACGAGTGCGTCCTATGATGTCTCCTAATCGAATTCATTCCTATCAAGCATCCAACTCTCAGATACCGGCGAGAATTCATGGTCTCGATGACATGGAAGAGCTCGAGGAAGAGCCGAATCCAGCAACACCATCTTCTCCACATCTTTCTCCCCACCCTTGATTCGCTATCAGCACTGATAACCAACTTAGGGTTCTGAAACTTGGCCTCAAGTTTTTGAACCCTCCGGTGGTTCATTTGCTGATTTAAGGCATTTAGGCAACCCCTGGATTCTTACCAGCATTCTAGTATGTGCTGTACACAGATGTATAACACCATTGTAGCAGCTCTGTGGGACTGGGGAGGAGTACATAGATTGACAGCAATGAGAAACCAGTCCTTCTCTGGTCGACATCCAGTATGTCCGTTGCGGCTGTGATTGCCGGGAATCTCTTATTCTGATCAATGCATCATCAGAACGTGCTTTCGAATTATCAGCAGATTTGCGACTGATATGTTGGTAGCACGAAGGCAGGAGGGCATTTCGATGTATACGCAAGCAGATGGACGAGGACGAAAGCGCGAAGTTTTGAAAGGATTGACGATCTCGTCTGAGAAAGTTCATCCTAAGCTTTTGGCGCACAGATCCAGCAGGTTATATTCACATCCGAGCTGTCCTATACAACACGTAAAGTATGTAAGTCTCACCTATCACTAAACCAAGTCTTCGAGATTTCATCTAGGCTGCACGTAGTCAGCTGCTGTGAACGTGAAGGCCTCCCAATGCTGTGCTGCTCAAAACTTGGTGTTTCGTCTGTAGGATATGTAAATTGAGACATTTCCTTAGTTTCAGATAGAGGTCGCATTCTTTGTATAAGAAGATTTATCTTCTCCCTTCAATTATACATCTGAAAGTCAGCGTCTTCGAATTCTGACGAGGCATGAATGCTTCTGCAACATGTACATGTCCATGTGTTGGCACATCTTCATTCCGTAGGAAGTACTTAGACACCCGGCCAGCTAAGTTGGATCAACACAGGTCCAAGATTATTCTTGAGCTCTAGACCTGCATGTATGGATACATCTGATTCCAGATTGAAAATAAGAACTCCAATCTTGGAAACAAGGGAAAAATCTTCTTCAAGGTTTATGAGTTTGTATGTTTTAGATATCCTAGAGAGTTATCCCTTGAGGCTTGTCTCGCACATTCTAGTCTGGTCTTACATGGGTTCTGAAATAATTTAGGCTCTATGAGATCAAAAAAATCAAATCATAGCCAATTAATTGGAGTTTCCAGAGTTAGCTTGTGAAGAAGGAACGAATTTCAAAAGAGCAGCAAATATCTACCTCCGCCGAGACGAGAAATCACCGAAATTGGTACTTTCGCCAACGGAATCTGCTTTTCAACAGTTTGAGCATCTAGTTTGAAGTCTTCATAATTTCAGCTTGATCGCAAAGCTTGTCGTCTTGATTTACGACGTCAAGGAGAGAAAAGAAGCATTACCGATTTAAGAACTGAAGATCCTCCGCAAGCGAGATTCTGGTACATACCATGTGAATCAAAGTCCTTCGACGTTGTGCGCCTCACGACACTCCGTCCAGGTACAGCATCGAGAACTTTCTGAAACTAAGTTGGATGTTGAAGTATGCAATTTCTTCAATGACGATGAATGACGCAGATCTTACAATATAAACCTAAAACTGTTAGAGAGCATTATCGCTAATCCCGCCTTCTATTATTTCAAATCAATTAGGAAGGTTTTGCTCGTCTGAAAATCTGGTCCTGAAAATCTCCATGGACCACTCGTCCAAATTTAGTCTACTCATCAGGATGCGACCTTGGGCAGATGGACATAGTACATCATTCGCATACCTCTAACAGCCGATGTAATACACATATTAACTAGAGTTAGAAAGTCTATTTTGCGATTAGATAGGGCCAAAATAAGGATGATCTTATTCAATTAGTCGTTCAGTAGGTTTTGTTGTCTCAACATTAGGCCATCATCTTTTTGGGACGAGTGGTGGCATGAGTCAAATCATTCAACTTCGATCTTACAGGTTAGCCATACCAGCGCCATCTAATATGACTTCCAAGTATTAGCGGATTCTCAGCTCACCAGACTGACTTTGCTCTACAACGAACCTTTTCGACGATATCATGTGATCATACTAGCAAAAGAACGTGTGAATATGTAGATAATGCACAGTCCAAACTACATCCGGATCTCTACACAAGCTATCTGTGTCAATTTCTGCTGTGGTTTGTATCTCCAGCTTCTCAGACCATGTAAAGGGCATAAGTTTTAGTGTACTGAATCCCTGACGTGCAATATGAAAGTGCCCAATGGACTATATGTGTCGCCTAGATGTTATCGTCCTTATGAGCCTTGTACTTTAGAATCATGCAACTCTCCAGTCAAGTTTGAAATGACTAATGTGATAATGGATGACAGTGGCATTTTGCTACCAACCATTTTCAACTCTTTTGTTACAAGCAAGAAACCGCCTTACAAATGTCATTCCGATTCCAAAAATTATTTATCATCTAAAGTCATAGAGACAGGTAAAAAAACATTTCTTAATTGTCTTTGTCATAATCGTCTAAGTTTCTTTTTGTTACATACAACAGGTTCAGATCCAGACTTTTCAGGATTCGGAGATGGCCATTTTAAGAATAACCACATAAATTCCACACGAGTCTTCACTTCCTTCTCAAAGTATCCTTTCAGCGAGGTAACGAGGTTCAAGATTTACTTCTTTTCGCTTGAAAAGTTTTATGTCACCAAATCTTAAATAGTTATGAGAACAAAATTTCTGGTGTAGCTGTAAACCTAGAGCAGCAAAGAATCAGCCTAGATTGAACAATTAGAATATTAAACCTCTTGCCAGTATACTAGGAAAACTTCAAACTATCCAATGGAATACCACTGTGTGCATCGATGAGTGAGTATAAAAAAATGTATATTTGAAAAGCTTTATGAAGTTTTGAAAAACTTGATCTCATCAATCATGTAACGATACATTTATACGCATCTCCATTTCTCTTTTCTGCATGTGCTAAACCTTCAGTGTTTAAGGAAAACAAGTAGCATTGGTAGAAATGAAGCTAGTGGGAATACTCCACTAGATGTGATGCCTCAAGTTCATTGCTTATATCTTCAAGTTAAGAATCGATATTGCGAATATTATTCTGACTTGCATAACTTGAGACATACGGTTTTAACCCCTTAAGGAACTAGGTCGATACTGACCTATGTGCATGAACATGCAGGTCAAGCTCAAACAAGAGAAAAAAATTTAGTCGAAACAATCTGTCAGATGTAGGAATTATTAATGAAATTCCTCTAATTTTGTTGAATGGAATAATTTTGGAATCGGAATAGAATTTTGTCGGAGCTATACTTCCAAAATTTTTGTTGTATGGATTTGTCCTAGTATTAAGATGTGGCCTCGCTTAGATCAGGCTATTACGATAAGAGTCTCAACATTATGGATATTTGCAAGGAAACCAAATTATCTACCTGACGGACTATCTTAAAGATAACGTGGCATGTTTGACTGGAGAGATATGGCAGAGTTTGCTAAAGCACACTTTCCTTTACCCGTTTCTTTGGGAAAAGACATGTAATGAGAGCACGATCTCAAAGTTCGATCCGAGAGTTCACTTTCGCCTGACTCTTTCGTGACCAACTGATTCAAAAGTTTTATCTGCAGTTGCAAGTGGGAAACCTACAACTGAAAAGCTATCAGACTACAAGATCAGAGGCGAGGGTAGCATATAATCACCAACCGCTCTTGAGAGCTCGCAAGCGCAAAAAAGGAAACATAGATTGAGAAAGCCTGTGCTCGCTCTAAAACTGCTCGTTATTGGCTGGCTTGTCGAGTCATGATTGAATCACACTCTTACGCGGACTCACGGAACTTGGATATATTTACCATTAAAGCATTTACAACCCATACGCCCCCGAAAAAAAATCCAAGAATGTAGTCGCTTCTCTTGCTTGAGAAGCGAAAACCTTGCAAGACATAAGCTATAGCCGCAACTCTCTAAGAATTAGAGATATGGATATATTGGTCAGTGAATAAGTATTTCAAGGAGGTAGTAACTGCATATATCTGGCAAATTACCGGTAATATGAAGAAAATTTCCCATTTTACAGCTCACTTCACCTAAATAATGGATATTGTAATGGGCACTTTTCAAGTATAGCTTTCAATCGATCTGTGTACGGAAGGTAATTTCTCAAGTTAAAAATGAGTAACCTGTGTAAATTTTGTATGCTCCTAGATGTACTTGACCTGCTGATTGCGGATAACAGCTATGATCAACAAGCCGGTCCGACCGACTCTCTGAATACTGGACGTGGCAGTTTCACGGACACATTGCAATTGTGCTCCTAAGCAGGTATCAAGTCAGAAACTCGAACACATAGAGGAGTAAAAAAGATTTCGTTCTAAAGAAGTAGCTTCATGCATACCTTCAGTTTACATCCTGATGAAGGTTTGGCAGCGTGTCATATAATCATTCCAAGATTTTAAAGGTTTAGCAGCTGCCGCAACTTGATGCCTCAGGGTCAAATCACGATGTTTTTTTGGGACCAGACTGGTCGACTCAAATCTTGTAACTCGAATCTCAAAAGCCAGAGACGTCGCTGCGCACTGACTGGGGCTTCGGCCGATGCCTTGCAAACTATCAGCGATTTGAGCTCGAAGTTAACTATGCTAGCGCTCCGCTCATACCTGCAGTTTATAGATTCCTCGCGTCCAAGACCCGGCGCCAAAACTTGAATCGGCTTTTGCCGACCGCAGGTTTGAATGAGGTGCGCGCCGACGTGTCAACGACACCTCTCACATTTTCAAAATGGCTGCGTTCGTAGCAAAAGCATCTGGAGCTTGTGAAGATCAGAACGGTTCTCTTGGACTTGACTTAACCCGACTCGTCGGCGGGGAGTCACTCGCAAGTGACTACGGGTGAAGCTCGAGGAGCCGTCCACAGATGCACGACTGCAGCGCAGCTACCGCACCGAGTTTGGTGCACGGCGCCGCAACCAGATGGGCAAACCACGTCGAGACCTGCGGTGGCCTGGCGATCGGAACCTGGTTGCAATTCTGAGGCCTGGGTGAGTTGGACTCTATGGAGAGGGAAACGTCAAGTGCGGACGGCCTGGGACCTCGTGCGGCCTCTAGGCTCCAAGCGTATGCATATCCGTCGAGGGAAACTTTGTCTCCACTCGCGAAGCTGAGAGCTCAGAGCTGGTCATATCCACGGTACCAGCATGCGTTCGTGCACATGAGAAGCTTGTGCCTCTCTCTACAAGGAAATGAGCAAAATGATGAGGATGATGGGTTCTGAAGCATTCTCGGGAGTCTGAAATTTTTTAATCGACGACAAAATAGATATTGTCACAGCTCCTGCACAGGGCGGGCTCTGCTCTTGCACAAAGTTGTCCCTTCTGCACCTGAATTTGCCCTCAGGTCCAGCTGCGCCCATAATCTCCATCACGAGTCGTATGCATTAGTTTTGGTCTGAACACCGAATATATATTTTATGAATCTCGACACAGCTACAGTACTGTCCCTCTCACGGTCCCTACCATGGGCTGTTCCTGCCTAAAGTTCTTTAATATCGAGAGGCCTAATCTCATACAGTTTCGGTTGATTCCAGGTCCTGCCTATGCTGATTCGATTGCTTGTCCCCTCGTAGGACCTACTTCGTACTAGGCTGGCCCATGCTGTGCGTGCAAAATCATAATACATGGTATGGGTGGCTGCCCTTGCATGATTTTGGGGGGAGAGAGACAGAGAGAGAGAGAGAAGAGAGAGACACGATACTGAGAAAGAAGAATAGGGATATACATGAGATGTCCAACTAGATTGTTCGGATTTGATAAAGAGAGGAGGTCAGGCGGCACTTGTGGTCAGCTGTGGATGTGGACGACGAGGCCGATGAGGAGGAGGAGACGAGGAGGAGCTTCAAGCCGCAGTGTCGATACATATCCATTGGCACGGGAGTGACAGTGGATCGATCGTGCATGTCCAATCGATAGACGGTGATAAACCCACTAGACTCCTGGGTGCAAGCTTTATGTCAGTTGTAGGCTTTAAGGACACAGAAGAAATAGAAAGAGCGAATATACTGGGCCACAGATCGTCATCAGTCTCCTCGGAAAGGCAAGACACGCTACGAGATAAAGTCTATATTCTCCACTTTCAAGATGCCCACCATCTTCCTAAAAAGACTTTAGCAACTATTCCCACACTGAAGATTTGCAAGATTCGGATTGGATTTTACTCCACTTTGCCTTGTATTCAGCAACAACCTTCCTTGACAAGCTTAAACACAACTGGAGCGAGTTGCTCAATGACATTAAAGCGTGCGGTGATCCATCCCGATTGCTTGTTACTATTAGTTATTCCACTAAGCCAGCATTGGGCCAGCGATCATCTTCCATCTCACGTTGCCCATAACACAGCCTACACATTTGTTTCCATGCTTTGTCCCTGTCGGTCTGGCCTGCTCTCTTTGATGTCATCGAATGGCGGCCTCTCATCGCCTTCTCATCATGCAGCAACATTTGATCGAATCAATCAATTAAGTCGAAGCTCATCATGTGTTCAACTACTGTGATGTCATTTGAATGTAATAATTCAATTGATTACGGAAAATCAAAATTCGAAAAAGAGTCAAGAAGATCTGAGTGAAGAAACCGCTCGCTTCAATGGTCGTGTCAGAACCTTCCCTTCCTTCCATCTACGGCAAAGCCCTGAAGAGAAACCATAATGAAGTACCATTCTTCTCTCCCTTCCATAGACCTTGTTCCCTGCAGTTATCCCAATTAGTAGTAAATGCTATCTTTATAGACGAAGCACTTGAAAGAACGTTCAGAAGTAGTAGTAGTAGTAGTAAGTGGTACGGATGGAAACTTCCGAGAACCGATACCGATCTCCCTCGTGATATGCATCATTTCTCCACCGCTGCCATCACCTCGCAATTAAAGCACCACACAGAAGGCAAACTCACCCGTGCTCAGGTTGTTTTGTTTAACATCCCAGTACGAATGGCAAATGAGATCTCCGTTCGGTTTCCCAAAAACAGGCGACGACGCTGAGCTCTGGCCTTTGGATCCTTCAGAAAAATGAGGTCGACAACGAAAATGCCGATTCCCCGACGTACTCGAGTTCCGAAGACCTCGCAGAGAAATCCCTGGCATCGAAACCGAGAGCCGAGCCTCGTTTGATGGTGTTCCACAGTTAGAAGAGACGGGCGACGCATGGGGAGAATGAAACCGAATCGACGACGTACAGGTCGCGTCTCACGTGTAAACCTTCTAGAATCGTCGATTGCCCACAGAAAGAAAGAGATCTCTCCAGCCCGCACCAAAGTGGCACCGGATCCAGACTTGGCGCCGGTCAGCGGATTGGCCGGGAAACCTTGCGGTTAGAAGACAAAACTTCCGGGCTCTTTTGGGCAGTACTTGCGGCCAGACAAGATCCCTTCCCCGAAGATTGCGCGGGCAGCTCTGAAGCCTCTGATACAGCGGAAGAGTGTAGAGGTCCCGCAAGGGTACCCGTCTGGGCCTGGGGCCCTGGTCCAGGACGAGAGGGCAGGGAGGTGTGCGTTGGAGTGGACCTGACACGGTGTCGGTCCAGACGGGACAATAAAGCGAGTGGCAATCACGAAAAGAGATTGTGCGAATTCTCCCGAGACATCACGAGCTGCGCTGCAAACAAACCGAGTTCAGATTTGCTTTTGGGGTTGCGGGAAATGTTGTCAACCAAGTCAACTATGGCGCGTTAGCACTCCCCACACTCTCACACACATATCCAAGCTGGACCTTTCGATATATTTCCTACGTGTGGAGCGCTTTCACTTATCGTCGATTCAGCATATTCCTGACGTCTTTCATGCATGCGCTGTGTGGTGCGAACGCGAAGAGTATTTAACCAGGGCTGCCTGCTTTATGAGAAGGCACCTGAACATGAACGATTGAACAACAAGTGTCGTGTGAAAAAAGAATTTCATATGCGCGAAAGGCCTGTCGATGTTCCCACGAATGAACTTAACAATAATTTGTTTCCAATCGAGGTCAGAGTTAGGTCCTGGGTCATAGCTTTGACATTCCTGAACTGGAGTCTGGACTGGGGAGTCTCGTGTAGGGTGTTGAATCTTACCTCTCACTGTACTTTTGTAGCTTCATGATTGCCATGCAGCTCCATGAGTGCCTTCCTATGGTCACCTTCCCGATCCACTTGACAATCGATCATTTCTTTTAAAGATAGTCGAGCGGTGGATCTTGCTGCTTCCATTTCGCATCCAAGGTCAGCTCATGTAGACTCTCACAGCAGGAACAACTGCAGATAAGATTGTATCATACTTGGGTTTACTCAGAATCAAAGAGACTTCTCCGGCTGAGCTCAGATCTATGATCTATGATCTAAGATCTAAGTCAATGACAGTTCTTACGGTTAAGTGATGGTTTCCCCACTGCACAGTATTACTACTGCTGCTTCTGCTGTACCACTTTTGTAGCTTGTAGGGTTAGTTCCCACCCCTACTGTAGACATCAATAATACCAGCTGCTCGAAATTCATCTTTGAGTGGGTGTGTATGGTCGAATCACAAAGCCCTCTCTATCGTATTGAATGGGCCATCGAAAGCCCTTCTGGGTCCATTAAACCTTCGTACATTCTATGGCTAAGGACGTTGCGAGTGAGCGACAGCTCGATCTTTCATGATGATCAGCAGCATAAAAACCTATCCTCATCGAGCAGAATGTCAATTTTTCACCCTATACTATGGGCAAACTCTGGTAACAGCCCACAGTTTTACCCACCTTCTCGTATGTTTGCATCTACGTTTAACATGATCTCGCGTTTCTCCGCTTCAGGGGATTCATTGATCACTAGTCTCGTTCCTTAAGTGCTTACCCATACGACTTGAATCTGAAGGCCGTGTACAATCGACAGAAATCCCTTTTGTACAATACAGAAAGCGAGTGTTACCTAATACCCGTACGACCAATTGCAGTCAGTTGCCGATGAATGAACACTTAGATATGATAAGCAATTTACTATTGCGTTTTATAATCGAAAAACCAGTCATTGTACTGTACTCTCTGTGAAGGCTTTCGTGTATAAGTCAGCCTGAACGTTAACACGAATAGATTCTTTGTCCAAAGAAGACAAGCCGTGGATCAAGGACAGCTTTGAGGCTAACGATGACGTGTTGGGCGGTTCTGTGGAGCCTTTTCATGATCTGAATCAAACCTTTCACCAGGGTGAAGAGAGTAAATGTCAGCACCTCTTCTAACAGGTATGCTAGTACAATGAAGCTGGCGTTCGATATACCTGTACAGAAAGCTGGCCTAAGCCGAATCTCCCGTCAAGAGCCCAGGACTTCTACTCAGTATACATATTTTTGATTACAAACTCCGACCATTAGAAGATTAGAAGCGAGAACGTTTCATCTTCAACTGTCTGCAGCAGGAATATTCTTGCCTTCTATCACTTAACTCCTAACAAGGGCGAGACGAAAGAAGATTCGTGTAATCCTCAGATTCAAGAGAACTCAATTTTATCATCAATTGGCAATCCTATCATGAACTTATCATGGAATTTCATCCAGAGTTTCAGTTCTTCCGATCAGGCGCGATCTGGGTTTGAAAGCACTATCACATGACCAGAATTATGGCTCAATAATACTTTCTTCTGTTAAAGTAGTTTGTGGATCAGAGGACCGATAACCTTCAAAGCTTTGCCTCGGTTCACATCAGAAGCTGCTATGATTGGATTGTCATTGGAAAGGTCCATGCATATTGAACTCCCGACTTTTGAAAGTGTGAAGTTCTTGACTTCTTGGAAACACAGTCAGTCCAAAACCTTGACAAGAGTCTGACAAAGGAGACCAACATTTTCTTGGTCTTCGAGTAAGGGAAGTAAATGGTATTCTGCGATTTTGACCATACACCAGCCGTATATGATGGCAGTTGTTCGTCCCACAAATCTTCAGGAATCTTTGTCTATCTCTCTTCTTGCAGATCTTGTTCTGCTCGATCATGTAGAAGAAAGTCCACAACTGATTCACGTCAGGGCAGAAAGAGCGCTGTACCATGCCCTACGACCGCGGCAGGAAAAAAGGCATTTCCTGCGCTGAACAAGTTTCGCACCCCCGATCTCTCTGTCTGTCTATCTATCTATCTATCCTGCCATCCGTCCATGTATGCTGTAATCGTCCCTCGGACTCCCTCCTCCCCGTCGCAGTCCGTCCTGACTGGGGCGTTAGAATTCCAGAACATTCTCTCGCATTCATCACATCTCGAACCCTCCCTTTTCACCCCATTACACGGCTAAAGTTAACGAAAACATTCCAAAACCTCGATAATCGAGATTTGCACTTCGATGTAAACAATCATCAACGTATGATACAAGTCGTGCATCTCTTGCTTCTAGGCTGACCATTTATTGGTCCAGCAACAGACAAACACCTGCCCTCTTCTCGAGGCAACTCACATCCCCGTGCTGGCCGCGGCCCATGCCCCCAAAATCCGAGAAAAGCTGCTCAGCGTCTATCGCTTGCCGCTTCTGTGCTGAGTCTGCTGACTCCTTCGGTCTGCCTGGCCTCATTCAGCGGCTCAGCTCAGCCTCCGTTCTGGACACTACTAAGACGGGTGGAGAAAAGCCCTACCCTACGGAGTACCCCATACCCGTCACCACGCTCGCCCCAACGCCAGACTACAGTCGTAGAGACTACGACCATAGTCTTTACGAGAGCTCCGGTCTGAGTCCTACCCTTAGACAAGTAGACGACTTTTTAGATGACCGGGCCTCAGCATAATCACCTGTGCGCTGTGGTCTGGCATGAACGTGCGTCCGTTCGTCGGGCAGTCCATCGGATCGGTCCGTCCGTCTCCCACCTATCAGAAGCCATGATCATTGCAGTACTCCGTCCTCATCCCTCCTTCCTACCTCACCTTTCACCTAACCAACGTCCCGTCTATCTCGCTGCCGGTATATTGCAGCAGCTCCCGGCGGCGCTCTGCAGCCACCAGCCTGGCTCCCGCCGGAACGCTTCTGCCACACCCGGCGACCGGCCCCGCCTCGCACTCATCATTCGAGAAAGTTTGCGTGCGTCCCTTGAGGTACTTCTGTGCCTTCTGGACCTGGAATTTACCGACAGTAAGTAGCTTCTCATTCGCAACTTTTCCACTGTTCAATCATAGAAGCGCGCATAGGACTTAGATGACACATTTCAGGCACGCGTACATGCGATCTAAATGGGATCTGCGGTCATTCGAGACACATGGGGGGATCTGGGACCGTGTTGGTCAGTTCATTCTCATGTCCATGACAATATACTTTCATCCTCTGTCCCTCTCATTCACCCAATGGCAACAACGTACCCACCGTCAACCCACAACCGATGGCTCTCTCTATAGCCTAATCTGCCAGCCTCAGCTTCAGCTGGCTGAAAAGGACTCACACCTCTCCAGGCACTGCCATAATATTTCACATCTACGGTTGAGTGATTGTTGTCTGATTCTTGCCTTCGGGTTAACCACTCTCGATGATCAGGGATCATGGTAAAATTTCTGAGCAGGTCCTTGTTCTAAGAATGTTCACAGAGGCATGCTTGACTTTTCTGACACCTGACTTATTGACCACGAGCCAGTATCTGCATGTTTTGTATAATGTCTTGTAAGTTCTTTGAGCATGTAATATAGTTCATGTTCTGAATCGATGAGGCATGGGTCTGCCAGATTACAAGCTAAAGTCCAACTTCGCGGAGAAGAATGATCAGATTTACAACGACCGTGAGGACCTCTTAGCATAGACCTCAATGGTTGTGCGTAGTCAAACAGTTTTTAACTTTTGACATAAGCTTGTGGAGCTGCATAGTAGCTATCTCGCAGATCACTATACCTGATTGTAAGTCAATAATTGATTCGGACTTTACAGGAGTCTTGAAGACTTTCGAATCTTGGGCACGATAATCGATGAGACGGTAATTTTAGAATTTTGACAGCACAGTAAGTATCATAACAAGACCTAGCCTACATATCAATTTAGTGTTAGATTTAGTGTGTCCACACGCTCAAATAATTACCATTATCTGGACATTCCTCGGTCTAGGATTGTTCAAACTTCAAATCTACAAATTGTCACAGAGATATCATAGATCTTACCTTAAAGTGAGATCTAAGAAAGCAGCAACGTGAGCAGGGGTGGCAGTGAACTTCCTG